CCTTTTCACCTTGTGCCCTCTTTGAGGCTATGTGAAGAGGAGCCCTGTGCAGGGTGTGACAGAGTCACCTACCTCACATCCATGGGAGGTGACAGGGATAGCTGTGTCAGCAGCCAATCCTCACCTCCTAATTACATGGGTTTTCACCAGTGCTGCCATTATAGGAGAGGTTAGAATGTGTGGAGGCAGTCATTGCTCTTATGGCTCACATTACCTATGTGCTTTGAAGTAGAAAAAAAAGTTAAGAAAACTGTTCTCTGGGGCTTTCTTCTTGGCTTTCTGTCTCTCTTTTCCTSCAGTGGGAGAAAGCCCTTTCTCAACTTCTTTTCCACTCTGAAGAAGCAGAGGGATAAGAGCAGTGCTTTTTCATAGGACAGTGAGAAATGTGTTCAGGGAAGATAGGAAGGATTTGTGTATCCTGCCAGGGAGAATAGAAAGTCTTATTTCTCTAGGGTGGGTGAAGGAGAAGGATGTTGGCTCCTCTGTGGGAAAAGTAGGCTGAAGAAGAAAAAGAGAAGAATTCCTCCGCATAGACCCCTGCTTCCACTCCCAAACCCTGGAACAGTACTGAAGTTTCCTCCCTTCCTCCTGCCAGTTCCTTCTTGGGAGCACCTGGCTTTCCTTCCCAAGTGCTTTCCAAACTCTGAATTTGCTTTTACTGTTGAACTGTGGCAGATCAGTGTCACCTTATTAATGGATTGCAGAGGCTGAGAATTAAGATAATACTCAGGGATACTTTTGGTCAGAAACCAGGAGGCAGAGCATCATCAGTCAAAGCAGAGATCTCAGTTGTGAAAGGGAATCCTAACCAAGTCCCAACACCATCATCTTATGTGCTGATACAACCACAGTGGCCTGCAGTGTAGGCTCATCACACCCGGACTTGGATAGTTGCTGTATAAAAATCTTCTAATTAAACTCCAGAGACAGCTAGTGTAGTAAACAATTTAATGAGTAGGTGGCACTCTTTACTCTGARCCACTCTTGAACCACGACCCAGAAATTGCGGAAGTGTTATGTAGTAAAGTAAGTGGGACATGTTCATTAGCAGCGTGCTTTGCAGCATTGTRTCTCTGTTGGGAAATATTTTTCACTTGGATGCAGGCCTCTCCTTAAGCTCAGTAAAGCTGGCACCTTTGTTAGTGAATGTAACTCRTGTCATCTGACACACTTGGAAGCAAACTGCCTGGACTGGGTCAAGCTCTGCATACCTACTATGGTCATTGTAAGCAGAGGAACAGGAACAATCAATTCTCTTTTCACATATCAGGTGAATAATTAAGATGACCTCTTCTGATGCACTGTGTTCTTATAAAATGCACAAACTGAATCTTCTTCCATTTTAATCTGGCTTTCCTAATTTTCTGCAACAAAATATACGTATTTTAAATAAGCATTAAAAAATGTGTTCCCTATTKCTTCATCTTCTTTAACAATTACCTGCTTTCTCTTCCCCTCAGTTCATATTTTACTCTAATATTCATGAAGTCCTCTCCATGGAGACAGGAGACCTGATTCTGGTAAAGACAAACCACCTGAGAAACCACCTTGGGTTTCCTCAACAGAGCGTCACTGTCTCTGCCCCTGACTCTGCCTCCTTCTCACTCCCAGACAGCAGCACACAAATGTTACACAAAGCCACTCCTCTGCATCTACTTGGTCTTGTGCCAGCAAAGATAAAAGGAACTCAGGGACTGAGAGTTGAATATGAATTTATACAGAGGCAAGAAATATCTAGTGAATGCATGACTAGACCTTTACAGATGCAAGCAAGGAATGTTTTAGTAAATGTATCTATTAATCCCTGATCTCTCTTTAGTATCTTTTGTAAAAATATGGTATAAATTCCTTTATATCACTTTACTCCTAGGAAACAAATCCTGCATTTGCATTAGTTGCATTGGCAACAACACTGAAAATGCAAGACCTCTTCACAATATCTAGAAATGGTGGCTGTAAGTTTAGCGGTTTTTTGATGGTTTAAGAAGTATAAAAGTAATCAAACATCATTAGGGAAATAGTATGCCAAAAAAAAAAGAAGGATGCAGATACAGATTTAATTCAGGATATGAAGGGCTCCTTTGAAAAAAGAAAATACTAATGCTAATGTCAGATTGGAATACAAGGTTCCTATTCTGAAACAGAAAACCTGTGATAAGAGGCAGCCCTGAGAGCAAAACCAACAAAGTAATAAGTGTGCTAAACTCAAATGTATCATTGTCCTGTTCAGCTCTTCCAAAACTTCACCTMACATAATCTGAACAAATGATTTGAGTCATTTCCCAGAAAAACAAACTGGCCCTCCAGAATATTATTCCAATGAGCAAAATTCAATTTGAATAATTTTTACTCGGAAGATAGTATTATGTGTGCCAATCAATGTAATACCCTGGCTCACRAGAATATAGAGAAAACTGTAAACAGAAGAAGCCAGGGGAAAAAATCCCATAAATAAAACTATTCAAGCTATGGATGCATAGTGTGTGGGTTTTGTTGTCAGCCAAATATGTGGAGAGCAGTTTTTCATGTCATGTGGGGAAGTCACATCAGACACTAGTCCTATTAGGCAAAACTTTCTCAGCAAAGGCAGGCAGGGTTCACTGCTTAACCACAGCTACATCAGCTCTATTGCCTGCTCAAATCAAGTTGTATGCTTTCAGAATAAACATGTACTTGCACAAAACCACCAAATAATTGTAATCTGAGAAGATCAGACCAAAACTTCTCACTGYTCCTGATCCCATCCAAAATCTATCATCTTCATCTGTTCTGTGAATCACAGACATCTTTTAATAACAATCCCTTTTAAAATCCTTTCTGAAAGTAATTGACCACATATTACCTAGGAGCAATGTGCAGGAAAGACACTTGCAAATATTCCTGCTTTTCCTGGCTCTTCAGTTGTTTTATGATACTCTTAGGCTATGGAAGAAATTGCATCATATATTCAGACACACAGTTGCTTTAAAGCAATTTTCTGAGCTGAATTTCTGCTCACAAGCAGTCCCTTTCCTTCATCAATATATTGGTTAAATATATGTTGAATTTATAAACATATGCAGAGGGGTTTGGTACAGCATTAAGTTTAAGCATAAAAGATAACCATAGATCAGGAGATTGCTTCAAAAGGAATGTAACACTTCACCATCCAGGGCCAACAGTTGCAAGAGTGTAATCTGCACTGTCCTGGCTGCTGGACACACAAACCCTCAGCTGACACCCTTTGTATGTGGGATTTGGCTCCTTTCTCTTCAGMCATATTCACTGTGTTTGCCTGTGTTTATTTGTGTTTTGGTGAGTGAGCATCTCACTGGGCCATGGATGCTGGGTGGCCACACAACACCCAAAGCATACGCAAAAGAAATGCCAGGAGCTACAGGTGTCCCTGGGGCATGGAGCTGTGTTCCTTAGGGATGGAGCACTTTCAAGCCACTGTAACCCAGACTCAAAYGACATACTCAGCAGGCAGCAGGAGTTATTGCTGAGGATCTGTGGTGTGCCAAGGTGATCACATAGACAAGTTTGTACTCTGGATACACACCGATAGAAACAAACCCAGTGCCTGGACAGGAAATGTAGATTTTTTGGGTACTCAGAACACCACTCATATTATTTCATAACTTAAAAAATTGTACTAGAGAAAATTAGACCATTATATGTTGATGTGAACAGGAAGTTTGAGCCTGATCTTTGGCCTCTGCCCTCCCTCCCATAGTAAGCATGGGAGAGGAAAAAGGGTACAAGTGGAATTTGTCCAGAGGTCGTTAAACTGAACATCCCCTTCAGACAACTGCTGCTCCAGACTGAACAGGATGCTGAAAAAATGTCCCTGAGATGATGTGACTGCAAATGGCACTTTGGAGGTCAGGCTGCAGACAGTGGCAAGTGCTCAATGGACATAGTCAAGTATCAATCAGCTCCTGTATTTACTGTATCTCTATTCATGACCCCTTCTAGAAAAGCAGATATTTTATCTAGTGAGCTACAAGATCTCTTATAACCATCTGTGGAGAATCTGCAGGTGTTAAATTAGCTGCAGGAGGATGTCCATATGTTTCCTGCATATACTAGACACATTGAGAAATATAACCAAAAATGAAGCCATTGCAGATTGCATGCAGTAAGGCTAAAGGGCTCAAGCCAAGATCTTTAAGTAAAATTGTACACAGATGAGATGTAATTTACTGTGATGAAAACACAGTGAAGAAGAAATGCATCTTTCATTTCCTAATGTAGTCTTTTGGGCGGACATGAGAAGATGGTTCCCTGAGACACTGAGCAGTCTCAAAATGCTGGCAAGAGGACCTGGGGCTGCTCAGCATTTGCCAGAATCAAGCCTTTGCAGTAATTTCCTACACTATTTTTTTTTTTGCAATTGGTCGATTTATTTATGATTTATATCCTTGTATTGTGTATGTCAGAGTCAGCAATTGCCCTGCAGTTACTAATGGGAGTTATTTGTTATTACTATATACAAAGAGCCAAAAAGTAACTTCCCTGCCTTGGTCTGAAGGCAATTGGAGAATTTTTCTATTTGATGTAAAGCAGTTGAAAAATGGATAAAAAATGAACAAGGATTGATTTTCAAGGATAAGCACAATGAAAAGACCTTATGTTTTACATACAGATACACATATTCATACTTTTCTCTGTAGGCATAGGCACAGACTAACCCATCTCGCTAGTTCTTCTCAGAATCCTGAATACAGGTCTGTGCAACTGTGTGGGAATACTGCCAATTTCTGGGGGTTTTTTTTACAATCCAACATATATTAATCCAATTTTTGTGAGCATAAATTAAGATTAAGCAATTACCTACAGCAGAGCTATGTGTCAGTTGAGAATTCCTTCCAGACCACTCCTCTCCACCAAACAGTATACCTGGGAGTAGAGAAGACCCAGAAGGCTTGACAAAGCTTTCTATATGTGAGCAGGAGTTCACACTTSTCAAAAAACCCTTAAGAAAGCTATTTCTCATGAGCATTTTTCTCTGTGCACAGAAAAAATGTAATTGATCCAGAGGATTCGAGGTGTGCCAGGCTGACTCTCACAGGACAGATGGTCACGGTGCCTCCGGAGGAAGTAGAATTTGCCAAGCAAGCAATGTTTTCCAGGTCTGTATCTAACAGGCACATAGTAGAGTGCAACCCACGGTTTGAGAGAAATACACAAATGTGGCTGTTTGCTACAAAAAAGCTGACAAATAACAAGGCTGACCTTTACTGTGGGGCCATGAAGCATGYTGGCTTCTTTGTGGCTTGGAATGACAGACCTTTTAACTCTTGAGGAAATGAAATATGGAAATGCAATTAGTCAGTGTTGGACTCTAATAAGGCACGTGGTTTATAATCTGGGCATTATGAAGATATGTCACCTGGTTCCAAGGAGAGATTCCCTAATTCCATGGTGTATTTGTTTTCTTTAACGATTCTACCCCACCTTACTCCAAGTAGTGCTCTTCAGCTACAGCCTCGTACTCAGAGACAGAGCAGAGGTCTGCTGCCTTTGGGCTTACATTTTCAGRGTGGAGCTTACACTTAAATTACCCCCTCTGATATCCCAGCTGCTTCAAAGCSATACTACTTTCTGAACAGTATCCTTTGAACAGATGTGTGGCACACACACAGGGTGTGCCCCCATACCCTCCAGGGGGTCTCCAGAATTACAGGCGTGAAAAGCCTGAACCTCAGCTGGGGCACACAYCTCCCACAAGGCTGCCAGGGTTTGTCCCTCAGGCACACCTTGCCTGGTCAATCAAATACTGCTGGGAAACTGGGTTGAGTTTGGATCCAAAACAGCCCAGAGGTGATATTCTTTCTGACCTACAGGAAGGGGTCAGGGTGGGACTCTGTCAGTGTTTGCCATCAGCAGCATAAGTGGGACCATGAGTAGATGGGGTCATATAGACACAAAAGCCTTTTTAACAAACTTTCAGAAATTAGATTTCCATGTCATCCATAATCCACTAGCGCCTCAGAACAGGATGCTCTGTTATCAGGATGCAAGATCCAGAATCATAACTTGAGGGCTGCTGGGGCATATCCAGGACCAGCAGCATCTGAAGACATTTCCCAATGCCAGAGTTGTAGGTGCTCAAAGGGACAGCTCAGAAAACGGTGGGAAACCCTATTTTCCCAATGAGAGCAAAATCAAGAAGTTGCCAAACCAAACATCTCTGCTGCAGGGTCCTCTGCAGGAGCAGGGGGGCACTGAGCCAACCCTGCCCAGACTTGCAGCACCTCCCGCCCATGTTCCTGTGAACACTCTGACTTAAGCTGTTGTATCCACTCTGTGCATCACTGCTGAGCTTCCCACAGACACATACGCTTGCTGGGGCTTGAGGAGCAGATACCTGCACCCTGYCAGGGAGAATCTGTTTGACCTAACTGTAAGGAAGGCCAAAGAAGTTAGACATAAATACAGGATGAGAAGGCTGTAGGAGGRTGACAGCTTGCAGAGGATGTGCTCTACCTGCTACCCAGTTTTGTTAGCTCTCCCTACACATCACAATCACTACCAAAGACATAGTATTTTCAGAACACTGCTTCCTTTAAACAGATACAAGTACAACCCTCACACACATTTGAAGAGTCTCCTCTATTTTTCAGTAAMTTAGAGAATAAACAACATCTGCCTTTAGAGATAGGGTTCTGCAGTGGAGGAAGGTGGTGATTGCTAGCTGCCTAAGTTGCAGTTCTCCCTAGACTGGGGTGTGGAAGTTCGTAAGCCTTACAGCAAGGGAGGGCCAAAAAGATGAATGGTGGTGTTCTCATGTCTCAGGTTTCACTCTGGCAGAGCACACTAGGCTGAAGAAAAAAGCAGACAATGCATATGCTTTGGCATGTCTTTTAATTTTTTTCTCTTTTCTTTGTCCTTCCAGGCACCCAGTGGTAAGAAAGTGGCCTCGTAGCTATGAGTGGTTCTTCATGAAAATGAACATTGAACACATCTGGCTTCAAAACTGGTATGGAGAAGTTTCTCCCATTGCAGTAGAAGAGTATTTAAAAGCAGCTCCAAGTAAAGGATGATCGAATGGGCTTTGAGATAGAAATCTCCTGAGTTTCCTTTCCAAACACTTCTAAATTTTCATGGTACATGGTTTCTTTACAGTGATTTTTTTTCCCCTCCCCAAAAGCTTCAAAATAGCTCTTTCTCACATGGAGCGGACTGAAAATAAATCAACACAGACTTTCAAATTATGAAGGAGAGGTGGATACTAGCCCTACCCTGCAATGTACAGACTTGTCATTTCAAGCAGGCAACACGTCATCTGAAATGCTGTTTTAAAAATACTTTGTATCTGTTTGTTTTGACTTCTATTGCTGTSCACTCACAGGGAAACTACACTATGTGCTAAATATAATGTTCTGATTTGCAGAAAACRCAAATTGCCCACTCAGAACCTTCTATGCATTGTGGAGGTATTACTGCTGCTTGGTCTCCCTTGGTTTGTAAGTACTCTAAGAGAAACTTAATAGCTKCAAATTTAGGTGTTTAAGTTTAAAAACAAATAATTTGCTAAAGCTGTCCTCATTTGCTAACTTTTCTTTTCTATGTGTGTTTTTCCCTAATTAGATAATTTGGTATTTCASTTGGAAATTGAGTAGAACTTCTCTCTTTAGTAGAAAAAAATGCAATCAGTTCAAACAGCACAGCTCCAATATAACTTGTCTCTGACACAAAGCTGGTTAAACACATTAAGGGCCAAAATCAAATCGGCCCCAAAAGGATTATCTCAATACAAGTATAAACACTCTCATAAGAAGAATTTAAGCAAATGTTCTCAGCTAGCCTGTTCCTGTTGAGACAGGAAAAGTATTTCTAATAGCCTGTAGTCCCAATTTTTTTTGCCTCCCTGCTCAAGCCACTGCTTTATTTTTAACTGGCTTGTGCAACTGATCTTTTGTAAGCCCTCACTAAATCATTGAGGGGTGGAGTCTCTCCCCTAACTCCGTTTCCTCACCAAGARTAAAGGGCTTGTTCATCCATTTATTTTTTAAAGAAGCCCAAAGATGGTAGGTATTTCAGGCCATGAAAAMGTACTTTTCCCAGTGCAAACTTTGTTGCAAACACATATATAGGCTTCTCATGGAGTAATACCAAAAGAGTTCAAAGGCATTTTAATCACCATCAGCCCTTTCTCGAGATGTCCTCCTGGTAAACTTATTCTGCATTTCTTAAGGGTATCACAGAAAGAAACTTCCCATGGCTAAGAGCCAAGTCACCACAGTTTTAAAATTATATGGCTGCTCTCCCGTTACATTAAGAAAGAGACATACTGAAATGAGATTTCTGTGCCTGTGGGGAAGGTCTTCGAGCATCCCTGGAAGTGCACCTGAGCTCTGGACACCAGCCTGCACCATGTCTGGGCTGGGGAGGAGCCTGGGTGCGTGGGTAAGTGCCCTAAGATTGTACAGGTTAATCCCGGGGCAGAGCTCAGAGGCAGCTGMATGAGCTGTGATCAGCTGGAAGCCAATTAAGTGTAGCTTGGTTTATTTTGGCTCCAGCATGGAGAGAGGGAGTCATTCCCAGAACAACTGGGCACCATACTGGTTTGACTACAAGGGGGCACTTAGCCGCAGGGTGAGTCCTCAGCTCCAGGCATCGTTGCTACTCCTGATACTCTGTAAGAAGCAAAAGCAAGTGGAGGAGGGAATTTTTGTTTAGACACTTACTAAGCCTTTTTTTTATTCTTGTCTCATTGCTAACGAGACTCTGTTGGCAGTGCAGATCTTTTGCAGAGGTAATTATACAAAAGGAGGAAATGTCCTGCCTGAATCTATTTCCTTCTATTTTATTTCTTGGCAGATGAGCTGCATTTTCACATTTGAGTTTGCCCCGAATCTTGCATTGGGTAGTACTGAAGCAAGATGGCCTGTCCTGTACAAATTTATAGAATACCATCAAGTGAAATCCCCCTTGACTCATATAATTTTGCCATGGGAATCTTTGTTCACTATGGATTTAATGACTTTGTCCATTAAGATTAATGGGACTTTTAAATCYGAGTGCAACAGGAAGAATACTAGGCCTTTTAAGGGAATTTCACACGTGTAACATTTCTGTTGAACTATAATTACATATTTCATTATCCCAGTTCACTACTATCCCCAGAGAAACGTGAAAAACCTATTCTGTCCCCCACTCCTAAATACACACAGATTAAGCAAATACAGAGTACAATCTTAATGTTTAAACAAGCTGATGAAGAGAAAAAGAATTTTAGAAGTGCTGCTGTTACTGTACTCTCAATTTCATTCATGTCCCCTGGAAACAGTGACAGGGCCCTATGTCCTATCCATTAACTTATTAACTAGCCTTGAAGTAGTAAGGGATTGTGTCAACAAGGTTCAGAAGAGCTTCAGTGGTTTAAGAAGTAAGTGTGTACTAAGAAAAGTTTTGAATTTACAACATCCTACTTGTTACAGACTGTCTCCCTGCACACACAGATTAATTGGAGTAGCTTCAGTATTGTAAAATGACACATTCATCAAGAAGCTTTTCAGTATGGACCCACCGTGAGGCTCTTGACAGAACCTCAAAATATGAAATGGTGATGACATGTAAAGTGACAAAATGGGCCTCTTGAAGAAATGCTGTCTTAAATCACCTGTTCTCATTTCATACTTCCTTCACCCAAGGAATAGTTACCATGAAAATCCTTGGAAGTCTGTAGAAATTCATAAAAATATGACCAGCAGATTTTGAATGGAATTTTCCCGACCAAAAAAAAAAAAGAGGGGAAAGTAGTTTGCTTATTTGGGTTTTATATTATTATTTATACGCTAGTCCCAATTTTTCTTTGAAAAGACAAATGTCTCAAGTAATATTGGTCATCACATGATACATAATGTTTGTTAAAGCTTTTAACCCAAAGAGTTTTATCTGAAATACCATAATAAAAACATAGTTCCTTAAGACTGTAGAGYCTGATCTTGCTTCAATTCAAGTCAATAGCAAAAATCCCATTTATTTGTTGTGTTTTAATTATTAGATCAAACAAGCATTTTCATAAAATGTCTTGATAAAGTCTTATGTATTTATTAAGCATTTCAACCAGCTGATGTGTAATTTCCATGTGTTCTGTATTTTAGTTATTTCTGTAGCTTCCCCAAAAAAGTTTGTTGTGCAACATGTTTAAAATTTAAACTGTGGTCTTGCGATATTTAAAAGATGTATTTGGCTATTTCTGTATACTTGCTGAAAAAAGGAAAATGAAGCTGAAAAGTTGGGTTCTCACTTTTTGCTAATTTGTGCAAAAGTAATGCATGTACAGGATTTAGGTACAGCTGTTTTGAACTGCTGCTCTTATTTAACCAAAGAATGCTCCGTTTCTGATGAAATTTTCATCACTTCAGTGGTTGAAATGCAACCTGTCACACTTCTGGATGTGTATTGCAATTTGCAATGTATTTTGATTTCTAAAAATATTGAAAGTTGTTAACAAAATGGCCATGGAGAAGAAATGAAAATAAAACAAATTTCAAAGCAGAAAGTGTATAAGGATATTCTTCACTACAGAATTCACTGGAGGAACTGACCTTGTGCAAACAACCATTGAAATTTCTGCCTGACCTGAACATCTGTTCTCGTTTCTTTTCCCTGAGATTTTCTGAACCAAGTTAATTTCTCTCAAAATTTTTGTGGGAATTGAGACTTAGACCTGCCTTTTCTCTGGGGAGGAAAGTCTAGCCAAGCATCTTTCATCATTCCTTCATCTCCTCATTACTGTGCAGTTTGCTTTTACTGTGGCAGTTAAATGTCACTCYTAAAGTTTGCTCTTCTTTTCTGCACATAGAGATGGAGCACTCACCTCTTGGGTGTGTATTAATAGTGTTTTGGAAGTTTCCTTAGTGCTATTTCTTCCCTTGCCAGCCTTGCACTTACAAGTTCTTGTTACAGCTTGTTCTCTCCTGTCCACTTTTCTCTGCCACTTTTTTAAAGCCAAGACTAACAATTTACCTCTTCATATTGCTTTCCCCCACCATCTTCTTTCAACAAAATTCAAGTTCAAATACTAAAATTCCCACTTCATATCACATAGAATAGAATAGAATAGAATAGAATAGAATAGAATAGAATAGAATAGAATAGAATAGAATAGAATAGAATAGAATAGAATAGAATAGAAAAGAAAAGAAAACAGCCTGTGTTTCCTATTTACACTTTAAGTCTTTGTCTTGCTACTGGTTGGACTGCATTTACTTTAAGAACTGTGACAACAGTTCCCTAACCTGTACAAATCCCAGTCAACACCAGTTTCCTATTTCCAGTAATCTGTATTTTTAAAAGAACATTTCCTGCAGCTGTTCTTTTCCTTTTTACTTACTCTTTTWACTTTTATTCCATTTCTGAAGTGATGTCCATTCTGATTACACTGAGTTTCTTTCACTTATTTACAAAAAAACCCTAATTTGAACAGTTTTGGAATCACTGAAGTACAGTCACTTTTTTTAACCTGATTTTTGACAAATACTGAATTAGCGCTTCTTCCAAATTGCGTCACTTGTCATCCTTCAATAAAGCTCACCTTTCCCTGTCTTTTCTCTGCCACCACCTCCACATGCCCTCTCCCAGCTAACATTTTGGTAGATGCTCCTGTTTCCTTATCCTCTTATCCCTATTTTTTTTTTTTATTAATTAATTTTCCTATGTTCTTCCCTCAGCTTCCAAGTTCTTCTCCACAGCTCCTTCCACATTACTTTTCTGCTCAGTCTTGTYTGCCTTCTTGATTTTGCCACTTTAATCTTGTTGTCACTTTGCTCAGTGCCTTTGGAGAGAGAGTTCTAGCACTGCCAAGTCTTATGTTGGAGAATGCTGAAGAGCTGCTTTAAGGAATACTTTGGGTTTGAAGGTATTTATTTGATTGTTTGTTTGTTTGTTTGTTGAAACACTGACTCTGGAATAGAAATGGGAACATACTGGCCTTGATGCTGACACAGAGCASGGCAGTTCATCGAGCTCATGGCTTTGCCGCTGATATCTTCTGCACAAACTATTCCAGGCTCTACTAGCCCCTGCCTGTGTCAGCAGCCACAACATACAATCATGATTAGGAACAACTTCAACAAAACCTGACAGGGTTGTTTGACAATATAGGTAACAGTGCAGGAACACACAACTGTTGTCTTCTGAAGGAAAACAACCATTAAAAAAAGACTGGTAGCCTTTGAAAACAAGTGATTTGTTTCAGAAGCTGGAAAAAGGTGTGTTCTATGAAAAAATAGGGAAGAGTTTGTGATTATTTAAGAAGAGGTATATGTCAGATACTTCTATTTAATGGAAAACAAGCCCATAAAATGATCAYGTCTGTTCAGTCCCTTAATCTTGTACTTAAATACTTTTTGCTCGAGACATGGTATAGACCCTGTCACCTTTTCGTCCTGCAGGAATGAGCTCCCCTTAGCACAACAGCATAGGTGCTGTGTGTATCTGAAMGTGCATAGCTCCGTTCCCTTTCCCCTGCATGTCTGTGCACCGTTCTGTTCCCTGCTGGCTTCCGGCCACCTCTTGTTCTCTTGTGTTGGTTCAGCCTCCCTCCACTCCTCAGGAAGCCATGCTTCACCCTCGAAYGAGGGCGAGGTGTGTCCCGGAGGGTGCGTTAGTGACTCATGTAACTCGCCGCGTGTGTCACTGCCGGGGACTGGTGGACAGGACTCGGGGCCGCCCCCCGTGGCAGGGCCCACGGCCGAGCAGCCCCCGAGGGTTCTCGGGTTGGGGAAGGCGGCTGCCAGGCAGGGGCGATGGAYACTCCGTGCAGGAGGCGCTTCAGGMTGATCCCCCACGGGCACCGSGGCTCGGGGCTGAGCTGTGCCTCTWGAACAGCCCCGGCACACCGGGGACAATGACATCCTGGCCTGCAYTAGAAACGGAGTGGCCGGTAGGACTGGGGAAGTAATTCTCCCCTTGTACTTGGCACTGGTGAGGCTGCACTTCGAGTGCTGAGTCCAGTGGTGGACCCCTCAATTGAAGAACATAGAGGTGCTGGAATGGGTCCAGAGAAGGACAATGGAGCTGGTGATCGCATGGAGCACA